ATACTTGCCCTGGGCAAGCTTGACTAGAAGGAGATGAAGCTTCCGAGTCTGCTCGGTATTCGCTCCAATTGAAGACTTGTACACCTCGCGATCACGAGCCAGCTTCTTGTTCAACGTAGCGACGAAAACGTCCCGAGCTTGGACCTCGCAGTGCAGGCGATTCAAGTCTTCTGAATGTCGCTCCATGGTGGCTTGAACACTGGCGAGCATGGCGTCGTTCTTGGCATTCGACTCGCGGAGAATCTTGACGTTCTTGTGAAGGGCATCGATCGCAGCGTTAGCAGCCTTGAGGAGCGCCTCCGCGTTCTCACGAGCCATGATTTCGGGTGCCACCGAACGTACGGTGGCAGCAGCCTCGGACTGAGCAAACTGCAGCTAACGATCCAAGCTGGCAACCCGTTCGGGTAATGCCGACAGCGCGTCAGGAAGAGGTTGTACAGCAGTGAGGACATCATCGAAACCAACAGCAGTCTCGAGGCGACGTTGAGCGTGGACATCGCCGTGGAGAGGAGGCGCAACGCTGAGCTGCACTTGGTGACGAGCCATGGCAGTCAAGTACGGAATTATCGAGGTCATCATGTGATCGACCGATGCCGTCCGTACTTTCAGCCAGCATGGCGCGCAGCGAACCCTCCGCGAGTGGTGGAGTACCACCAACAGGCACAGGAGGACCAGCAGGAGCCATCCCCGTAGATTCAGCGACGACAGGAAGTGCCCCAGGAGCTGCCGCAAGGGGTGAAGAGTCCGGGGCAGGAAGTGCCGGAGGTCCGGCTGATGACGCCGCTGTCGGAGGAAGTGTAGCAGGCTGAGGGGCGCTCGAAACCTCGGTGTTGCCCTCCTGAGAAACAAGACGAGTAATGCATGGTGATGAGCAAGGCGCCGATGATTCAAGAGGAAGCTGAGCTGACGTACCTCCAGCGTGTTCACGTTCACGACGTCGGCGAGGATTGAGACGCTGAAGCGCGTTGTTCACGGCTCGATTCAAACGCTTGGACATGCAGTGACTGGATGGTGAATTGGAGAATGAAGAAATGTCACAACGGGCACCAGTACCGTGGATTACATTGCGACAGGGGCAGTTGTGGTGTAGTGATTTCTCCATAGTTGCGGATAATCGCCCGTCGACAAAGACGTGACACCGCCCAAAGATGTTCAAGCGACGAACCCTCGGTCATGTGATGTACAGTGACTCCAAGGTGCAAGGGACCCGACGGCGTCAGTACCGAACTCTCAACGGGTTTTGGATACGGTCCATATGTCACTAAAACCAGGCTGTCTTTAATATTAATAATGGACTGGATTCAGCGGCCAAGAACTGACCATCTATGGTACGAACCCTCGGTGGCGGTTGGGATGAGTTCACGGAAGACTCAGCGACCCTTGGAAGACACGTTCACCGTCTTGGACAGGGCGCGGGCCGTTAAAGAAGCTCATGCGACGGTGCAGACGACGCTTGGCGTGCAAGAAGATCCATAACGGATCATTGTTCGCTTGATATTTGTATATTTAATTAGGAGTTCTTATTAGGAATAGACCCGAAAGGGTAAGCATAAATACAGAACAGAATTTCCACTCAAGCACACAGAGCGACGTCCGGCTTCAAGGTAAGCGTCTGGCCAAGCTTGTTTGAGTGTGTTATGCCTGTCGGTGAACTCGAAGCTCTGTAGCGAGGGTTCATCCGGCAAGGCCAAGAGACTGTGTATTTTGGCCGATTACTATCGGGAGGTTTTACGTGACGGCTTATTGTTGCCTATTTGCACGACTGGGGTTGCTTGTATTGCATCCCTTTTATTCTTCTAACCGAGTGTCGAACACTCGGTGCCCTCGTAAAAGGCTTTCCCGTGCCTGGTACCCTTCCGCTGTTGGGACCACTAGGATTTATCACGCCTACTAGCTTTGCTCGTGCTAACGGATTTTCCCGAATACAAGTCCTGTAGGAAATACAAGTCCGCTCACAAATGACAGAATCTGTTTAATAATAGAAGTCCTGTATCAAATAGAAGTCCGTAGTATAGCGAGCATTTCTATTTTAAATGTTCATTTTTTTTAGCGTTCACTGCCGTTGCTCGCTCATCCCCGTCCTCGGATCTTGTTCTGCTCGAGAGAGAGCTTACACGTTGAAAGTTAGTTCATTCTCAAATCAGGGCAATGACATCGAGGCGCAACTCCATCAGCATCTGGAAGAAGAATGAGGTTATCGACTGGATCAATACAACAGGCGAAGGTGTTCCATCGCGTGCAGCGGCTCATTTTCGTTCACTTGGGTGGAACTTCGACCCCGCGACAGCTCGCCGCTGGTGGCGCCAGCGTGACGAAATTTGGGCAGCCAAGCCGACACAAATGCGAGTCGCTGGAGGAGGACGCAAGCGAGCCCTAGGCGCTCTTGAAGACTTACTACTTGAGATGATTGTTCTGCGCCGTCTAAAGAAGGAGAAGGTTACCAGAGAGTGGATTGCAGCACAAGCTTTACAGCTGTACAGTGAAGTTTCCGACGACCAAGTCCGGTTGTTCGAAGCCTCACCGCACTGGGTTAGCGAGTTCATGAAGCGCAATGACTTATCGCTTCGTCGCCGCACCAACTTGACGACACTTACAGATGAACAGCTTATCGGTCGTGCGGTGTCATACATGCGCTATCTTAGCGAAAACAAGAGCACCTTTAATTTCCATCACACAATTCTAATGGATGAGACGGCAGTGTACTTTGAGGACGCACGCGAACAAACCGTAGAGGTCCGGGGTGCACGACATGTGGTCGTTAAGTCGACTGGATTCTCATCGATGCGAGTGACGGCGGTACTGGCGGTTACGGCCACAGGGGTCAAGCTGTCCCCTCTCGTAATTTGGAAGCACAAGAAAGGATCTCGAACCATTCAGAAGGTTGGTGGAGTGCATGTAGCCTACCAGCCAAAGGCATGGGTTGACTCCGAACTACTATGCAATTGGATCGATATGGTCTTTCCTAAGGTGTTGCAGGCGGAAGGAAAGACCATTGTCTGGGACTCAATGCGCGCGCACATATCACGCGCTGTAAAGGCCAAATGCAAAGACCGTAATATTGCTATGTGTGTTATTCCAGGTGGGCTGACGGCATACCTCCAAGCTGGTGATATTGGCATCTACAAGCAGTTTAAGGACATTCTGTATAACAATATCGACGAGTGGAAGAACTCTGACGCTGTAGAATACACTCGCGCCGGAAACCCGAAGCCACCGAGCGCTGAAGTCGCGTGCCAGTGGGTGCGAAAGGCCTGGAAGGACACTGATCAAGAAACTATTGACAACTCTGTAGCTGCGGCCGGATTTTCTCCGATTGAATCGGAATGGTTTATTTGGCGTCACGATGTCTACGGAAGAGGATTTCAGCGCGAATGGGAGAATGAAGAAGAGAAGAAAGAGGAGAACACGGATTCAGATGTGGATGATGAGCTGGCTAACGCATTGGATGACGTCGAGCTGGTTGACGAGTAATGCGTAGTTAGGAGACGCTTAGATATCGTTTTAGTACTGAACAACCATTGATGAAAAAATTTCTTTCATTAAATACAAGCCCTTGCCCGTTTACAAATCCCCTCGTCAAAATTGATTGATTTTGAGGGGCTTATAGGGATTACAAGACCGGCTTCTATTCGGGAAAATCCGTTAGTAGCGTGTTCTTATTTTTACGGGTTGGCCTATATAAGTAGTTTACAAGGTCCACTTTGTCCCGGTGCAAGGGCAGAAGTGGGGTCTTCAGGTCCGCCCAAACGATCGTTTACTATCCTAGTAGACGTATTGTTGTGGGAACGTCCTAACTACATTTGTAGCTAGAGCTCACGTGGGAATTCCAACACCACACGTTTTGCCATAACGCTGAGCACGTCCAGAGTCTAGTTAATGTAAACGACAGCACGAGGTCTGGAAATGCCCAGCGCTGTGGCCGACTGATTCATAGTGCCACCCTTGGCCAGGTACAAGATCGTCAACGCCAAGCGCTTGATAGCCGGGGCCTTGGCGTTGGGGTCAGCAGACTGCAATACCAGCGCGTAGATGCGTAGGAAATATTTCTTATCACATCAAAGTTTGTCATGAAACCAACCTGTACCAGGTGCTCGTAGGCTCTTTCGAATACACGTATTTTAAACGCCTTGGTGGATGTAGGAGGACGCCGGGGGTCTCGTTTGTCTGCTGCAGCGACGACGGCACATACGCTGGCAGAAAAATTGCATCTAATATTGCAGCCGTGACGCTGTCCATAGCACAATTATGCTGTGACTGGAACACTTGGTTACCGTGTTCCCAGAACTAGTGGTTCAGAGCGGCAACTTTCCAAAATGGTACAGTGTGCCGCTATTATTTTTAGCCAAATAAATTATAAGGAATGTCTCGCTTCAGAACGAGTTTAATGGAATAATGGAATTTTTGAGTAGAAAAATGAAGAATAAATCTGGGCTGGAGGAGTGATGACTATTCTTGAGCAATAACGGAATAAAATCATTTAAAATTCGACCTTAATTATCGCGACATTGCAAAAATTCACAAACTATGATTGGGCATCCACCAAAAAGTTGTGTTTACAATCGTCAGATGATTGGAAGCAGACGTTTGCAGCTTTTATCGACTCAAGTGGCATTCGAGATTTTCACTTGCACGCTTCTCGGCCGCCCCTCTTCGCCACATTCGGTACTTAGCAATTCATCTCTCTTCTGCGTATCCCTGCACTCCGTCGTCTTCATGTGAAGTTGTATGCACTGACTTCCAATCAGCGAGGGGTGCCGATTGCCAGTCATGGACCAGTTCCATGCGTTGGTCGGCTGAGATGAGACCCTTAGAACCTGATCCGGTTCATACCGGCGGAGGGACTGCTGCTGTTCTTGTTGTTGACCATGCATGTGTCTTCGTATCTGCTATTCGCTGCCCCAGCTGCCACTAGATATCGCCAGGTAAAAGCCACAATTATCCGCCTTGGGAGTTAACCGAGTGTATTTAACCCTTTCCATCTCATCCACAGACCTGCCAAGATGCTTGCAAGTGGAGTAACCTACGGCGTCATGGCCACAACTCTCATCGCCGTCGCTGCCTACGCTATCATCGTGAGTCGACGCTTGGAAATCAACTCGGTCAAGAATTTTGTCAGGTGCGTCACATTTTCATGCATCTTTCCAGAATTTCCACTTATTTAACCTATCAAACTCCAAACTTCAGTGCTAAAAACTCGACCACGACACTACGTCTGGCCTGGTGTTTCTTCTCGGCGGGTATCGGCGCTGGAACGCTCTTTTCGTATCCTCAGATTGGAGTGGATGCTGGGTCGTGGGGAGTTATCGGCTACGCGTTGTCTGGAGTCATCGGAATGATTGTATTGGCCCAAGTGGGTCCGTACACACGCTCTGCACTGGGTGAGAACGTCACAATGACCGACGTGGTCTCGAACCGGTTTGGCTACGTTATGCAGGTCTACGTGGGCTTCATCTCGATGTTCTACCAGTTCATCTGCTTGGCCTCCGAGTACACGTCCATCGCCCAATTGACCACGATGATGTCGCCCAACGCACACCCGATCGTCACGATCTTGATTGTGGCCTTCCTCACGAACCTCTACCTCGTTATCGGCGGTCTCCGTGCCAGTCTAGCCACTGATGTGTGGCAGGGCATTGGAGTCGTCGCTCTGGTCGCTGTCGTGTGCGTCGCCATGTTTGTCCACGTCTCAATCCCCAGCGGTGCGTGGTCGAGTACGAACGTTGCGGCCTTCACAAGTGCCGGCTTCGAGACGCTTGTGACGCTTGTCATCGCTGTGACGGCGTCCAACCTCTTCTTCACGGGCTTCTGGCAACGTGTGTACGCTGCTTATGACGACAACACGCTTCGCAAGGCTGCGTACATCGCCAGTATCATCATTGCGTTGTTCACGGTGGCACTCGCCATGGCTGGCATGGTCTCGTACCTCGCTTACCCGGACGGCCCTCTGTTCTTTGCGGTGCTTATCGACATGGGCCGAGGCTGGCAAGTTCTCATCGTTGTGGTCATTGCCATGCTGTCCAGTGGAGTGTCCGACTCGATTCAAATGGGGCTGGCTGCGGAGCTCACGACGTGCTTCCCCAAGCTCTCGTTGCTGCACGCACGTGTCATCTGCGGTGAGTATGGTGCTTTTGATTTAGTACTGATTTAACGCTAACTGTTTTTTTTTCAGTGCTGCTTAACGCGCCGGCTATCGCCATCGGATACCAGCAGTACGACATCTTGACGCTCTACTTGATCGCCGACTTACTGTGTACGGCTGCTGTGGGCCCCATGCTGCTCGGCACGTGGAAGCGCGCGACTCGCACCGGCGCTCTGGCTGGCAGTGCTGCTGGGTTGGTCACAATTTTCATCTGTGGCGTGGTTGCAGAGGGAAAGTTTGTGGGCGGCTTCAACTGGTTTATCTTGCCCGAAGGTCTCTACTCGCAGAACAGCATGATCACCTTCATCGTGACACTTATCATTCCGCCGGTTGTGACTGTGGCCGTGTCCTTGATGACCGAACTGACGGCGAATGGGGAAGCCAAGGACGACAGCTACCTGCTCGAACACTCCCCCGTTCAGGAGGCCTCCAAACACTAAGCTGGACTTAACCTTTCTTTTCTTCAAAAAATATATTTGAAGTAAATGATAAATCGCAACACTTAAAAGTTTGTTGCATTCAAATTTGTACAAGCGAACCTTGTTCGATGGTGTCTTGCTTAGTTGCCGTTCTCTAGAGAGCTAAAAAGTAGAAACAAGAAAATGGGAAGAGTAGATATCAGAAAACCCGTTTGACGAGGATGAGCTTTAACATTGTCATTTTTCCCAACGATGGAGCTATCGAGGGTTTTGTGCGATTCTTTTCCAGACCCAAGCTCTACGGCGTCGCCATCGTCGCTCGTGCACGGACAGGAACCCAGTTTACCCGAGAGCAAACCCAAGATAGCGTTACCGACATTCTCGGTACTACCGGACAGGGAGCGCAAACGGCTGCATCGATTGAGTGAAGCGCAAAAGCGACAGCACCAACACGCGGAGCCCTACGAATCTCGCGTGCGCAATCTCACATTTGACATCAACAACCTTCGCCAACAGATTCAGCAACTTGTGCAGTTGCGAACCGCTCTCGTCACCCGTTTACTGGTTAATGGTCAGCGTTTTGAAGGCGATATGCTTCAGCTGACTTGGACTCTCCTTGACGGACTGCGTGATGGAACCTTTGGACTGTCTGCGAGTGCTCGTAGTGTCTTCCCTTCGCGCACTCACATCAGCCAGCACGACCCCGGAGCAAGTGATGGGGTCCATCAGTTCATAATGCAGCGAGGTCGCCCCACATTCAAAAGACCAGCGTTCTCCGTCATATCAATTCGCAAAAGTGGATTGCGACACGGCAGGTGAACAAGCGAACGAGATCAGGAAAGTTTGTGGCCGTGCTGGCGGCGGTGTGGTTGAGGTTCTGGCAAGCCTCACGGGAGAGATCGCTCGAGAAACGATAGTTGCCTTGTTCCCGCTTGTTTTACGCGATGAAGCTCTAGCTGCACGGATCATCGGACAACGCATCACGTTCTCGTCACGGCTGCTGCTTTTCTTTAATACGCAACGGAGACTTATGCAGCAAGTGGCTCAGGCTGATCTCATGACCGCACTGAAGGTTCTCCATTTCGACCATTCGTGTGAGACTTCTACGACATCGACAGCAAATAATGAAAGCTAAGAAACCAGTTGCCGGCGCCTAATTATTTTGACAAGATGAGCTGTATCCTCAAGCCTCTACTTTAGCGTACGGTAACTTGTGAATCAAGTGGAGACTTTGCTGGGATGGTGACGTCCATCGTTGCGACCAGAGAGATCTTTGCCAATGTCAACAGTTGACAAGTTGACTCAACTTGCCTCCTCCAAATTGATACGGCAACTGATGGATGACAATGCAACTCACAAATTAAAGTAAAAAAAAATGCAGCACGATTGCTATTATTTTACACGTAAAAGCCAAAATGGAACTTGCTACGATAACGTTGACGTCGTGGATCTACAGGTTGGGGGGCTAGTTACAGAAGTGCTGGCAGTTGGGCAAGTCGGTGACACGCGAGAACAGCAGTCAATCGCCAAACATTCCACGCAGGAGACTTAATACACGCTTGAACACGGCGTCACCAACGTCCTGGCCAACTCGCGTCTAATCGAAGGTCACGAGGTGCGAGTCCATGCTGCTCAGAGCAATGGCGAAGGCCTGCACCGGGGTGAACGGGTGCGCGTAGTCCATCGAGTACACTTGACGGTCTTGTGTGCGTCCAAAGAGCATCAGCGTCTTGTCCATGTCGTCCGGGTGTGACAAGAGGAAGTTCTTTACCGACGCAGCGGCAACTCGACCACCGAAATCCAGGCAATAAGCCTCAAGAGACTCGATCCAGACCGGAGGCTTGTTGATCAGGTGCAACGCACGTGCAGTGTCCGGGTTCTCTACTTGTGATAAGATGGTATCCTCCTTGGACTCGGGTCTCCAGGGTTGCACGGCCCAAGACGGAGCACCGTCCACCGCACTGTCAGCACTCTGCACAGGTGCCACAAGTGGCAATGCAACTCGCATCTGACGAGGAGATTTGCCGAAAGTGGCGGCGTACTGCACAGCTCCCAGCTCGACGGACACTTCGCCAGTTGTGTCGTACATTGTGTACTGAGATCCCATGTAGTTCTTGTCCAGACGTGCAACCGGCACAGGCGCATTCATCGGGTACGCGCCATCCTCGTTTGTCTGGTTCGATGTGGTGTCCAGGTTGGTGGCGAGCGAGATGATGAAGCTCACCGACATGTCGTACTGGCGACGACGCACCGCTGTGCACAGAAGGGTGTCAGTGTCTTGTGTGTACAGCTCGTAGTTGCCGCCTCCGCGTGTGCGAATGTAACATTGCATCATGAGCGCCTGCGGGGGTGATGGGCTCACGAGGAACCGTGCCAAAAAGGAACTATTAAGTCTGGCAGTCCGAATCAGCAGTTGCCGCAAGGCAACATCAGCTGGGGGAGGGGGTTCCACTGGCGCTTGATCACATGCACTCACGTGGTCTGCCAAACTTGCCTTCTTCATTGCTTCCGAGCAGTAGGGGCAACTGACATTCATCTCGTTTGCCATTCGCTGAGCGAGACGCGAACGCGCCAAAAGTGAAGAGCCAATGGCCTCACGGCACATGGGACATGAGCCCCGTTCACTTACCCACCGCTCGATGCAATCTTTGCAAAAGATCTGGCCACAACATGTTGCCTCCGTAGCGTTGGTAAAAACCTCCTGGCAAATGGCACACTCGAGCATCTTGCGCGTGTTCTCGAGCGCCTCGAGCTGTTCGTCTCTCGGAATGGGCTCGGGGTTCGGATAGGCCAAAGTGCTGACCAAGTTGCTGGCTGCGAGCGCCGAGGCCGCAGTTCTCTGCCCCAAGTGTCGACTCTTGAGCGCCGAGTGGATCTCGAAGAGCATGTCCACAACTTCTCCAACACTGTGCTGGGTCTCCTCTGAGGGCTCGGCTTCGGGCTCGGGCTGTCCTTCATCCACATCCATCTCTTCGTGCTGTTGATTATCTGGTTCGTTGCTAGTGGGGAAGAATCTGTTCCTTGAAGCGACAGGAGCTGCCGTCTCCTCGTCAATAGTCGAATGGCGTTCGCTCAGTCTCCGCAAGTTTCTGCTGCTGCCCATGAGATCCACGAGACCCTCGCCCTCAGCGAAGAAACTCGAAACTTCGATGTCCATGTCGAAGCGCTTGTGGCGAGGCGTAATGCGCGGACTGCTGCGTGGTGACAGAAGGATCAGCTCGCTCAGTGTGCGCGTGCGGTGCATCTTGTTGCTGTGCTTGGGCTCCGTCACGACACGAAGTCGACGCTGTGCAAATCGCGAGGCCGTGATGGGTGCGGCGCGCGCCTCCCCGCCGCCGGTGCTGCTACTGGGACTCGGCTCGCCAGCTGAGAGGGTGGGTGTCGGAACGAACGTGGCTGCCATTGTCTCTAAGGTGCAGAGTGTTGGTGAAAGCTCGATCGATACTTCCTCCGCTGGATGGAGGAAGTGTGGATATGAACAGTGGAGCTCCTGCCTCGGAGTGAAGGTAACTAACTGGCTGGCTCGAGCGAAATCCGCGAATGACTCGGCACAAAAGTGTCTTGGGCTTTGCTTTTCGGCGTGTGGTGTTGTATGGAGTGAGCCGAAGACTGTTCTTCTATCGCGCGGCCTTAGTGAAAGCAAGTGAACTGTGCCCTTCCCCTCCAGTTCCGTCCTCAAGTGTCGTAACACCGTCTCTTCCACATCCAAGGCACTGAACAGAGCGCGGGGATTTGTATGAGAAAATGTATGCAGAGGTACGGAGGGCTCGCGGCGACATGTTGAAAAGTGGCACAATTTTTTTGTTTGGCAATTTTGATCTCGAGTCCTATTGGAGCTGCTGCTTGCGGGCAGTCTGACCAAGTTGCGGGGCACGCGGCTGGGGCATTGGATCGCCCAGATGGCAGAGTCTCTGCTGTCTCTGCTGCTCTACGCGCTACGCTATCCAGCAGCAAGACGCAGTGTGTGCTGCACGTTGAATTATTGCGCTCGCAATGTAGGCAACGGAGGTACTCGACGGTTTCAGCATGCTGGGCTGATGGGTGACAATTGAGGCCCTGGCCAGTGGCCATTGTCGGCTCCGTAAATGCAAGCGAACGTGAAAACACATTCGGTTCTCGAAGCCATTCCGCGTATTGAAACGCTCGCGATGGCGATCTGTAGTTTGTTGTTGTCGCCGCATTATTGCCAGACACATCATGTGGAGCTTCGCTGCAATGGCTCAGCACCAGTAACTGTGGTGTCCACACGAAATGGTAGAGGGGCGCAATAATCTTCGAAAAGGAACAAGAGTTCGGCAAATCAGGCGGTGCCGGATAAATGCTTACAAATTCCAATACAGCCGCTGAATCCCTGCCGGTTAATGCTCCGGACAAGCGAGAAGCTCATCGCTCCTCGTCAGCCTTACGTCAAATGAGCTGATCTCCTCTCGCGTCTTGCTTGGCCCAAGACACTTGGGATCCCTTGACCAAATACCAGTAGGCAGCAGCGTGAGAGCATTGCGCATTCTCTCAGCGCAAAATGCAAAGAAATGCAGCACTTCAACCAGGATGTGCCTTTTCGAGTACAGTACTTCGAAGTATTCAATGAATACTTTTCATGTTGCGATTAATGAGAGTACAGAACATGCATCAGTGAGGCCTTCTCGCTAATGGTACTTCTAGAAGTATGGTAAGATTGAGCAACGGCTACCTGCCCATGAGCACTTGCTCATTCAGCTGGTGCTTACAGGATTGCACAACGCACTCGTGATGGTGGTAAGCCCACCAGTTGCTATGCCGGCTGACTCTGGCCACGCCGGCTATTACCATGGATACTCGCTTTCTTCTGCCGCACATTGATTGGGGTTTGCTCACTTTACACCGACAGCGAGGATCGTACAGTTATGACCGTTTGGCGGCACTGGATTGACACAGAACGTGTGTGCATCATCCACTCAGCTGCATTCCGCCGTTTTACAAGCGGTTTCCAAACCTTCATTTCAAAGCTTGTTTTGGAACTTCCAGCATAATGAATCTTGCAATAGGAAGAATGCGATTTATTCTACAAAATCTAGTTCTTGCCACTAAGCCGTGCTCCAGCGAACTTTATCATCTCGAACAATCAGCGCTGTCCAAATTGTGTTCGCGTACGTGTTGCCAAAGCTCAAGTTTTCCCCACCGCAAAGTATTAATGTACTTGGAAGAAAGATGTGCTGCTACTGGAACATGTTATGACGACAATGTGTTTCATCGGTAACTGGTACTTATGCATTTCCAGCGAGCTCATCTGGAGCTTCCACTCGCTCCTTCACTGCTTGGTGCATTTCTTTCGCCGTGAGGCCCATGCGACCGCGCCACAGCTCAAATATCCTCAACGGATCTTGGTCGTTCACCGCCTCAAGCATTCCCTTGGCTTTGTTTTCCTCGTTTAGAAGGCCAAACCAGTCGCCGCTAGGATACACAATACAAGCTGCGGCATAGCGGTGGCCCCCGTAATGACTTGAAGTCCACAGATTCAACGGCTTGTTCGCGTCAGGTGCCGAGTTTTTCAGCCACTCCAGCAGTTCCGGCCCCTTGCAACCACAGCGCTCGTCTCTGAAAAGTCGAGAAACAAGTTCGATATTAGACAAACACTCAAGACGCAAATCAGCGTTTGCCAGCGTACCTGGCAGCATGGCCGCACACCATCATGTGGTAGGCATTCTCCACTCGCGTGTACTGCAGATTCCTGTTGTTCAAAGTGAGTTTTGCAGCAGAAATTAGCCTACAAGATTGGTGTGTTCATCATACATTCGCAAGGTCACTCACTCTTGTTCCAGCACGGCAGGCAGATCAAGGTCCTTCTCCAGCGACTTGCTCACCAGCGTTGAGACTGCACCGCCAAGCACAATATCAGACCATAGCAACAGCACAAGAACATCCAGCCACGCTCACTTACTCTGTGATGGCACAACGTTGTGAGCACGCACGAAATCGGGGAATACCAGGATGTCGTGGGCGCCTTCCTCCAGACTCTCTGTCGGGTTGACATTGTCGTCGCGCAGTCCACCGCTGCACATTCCTGTATAAGGGATTGCAGCCGTCACAAGCAGCGGGCTCTTCTTCACCTTCGTGACGTCACCACCATAAATCTCCACCAACGCAGCCATGTAGGAGCTCAGAATGTGTTCAGGTGTCCGCTCTAACTTGGCTGGCCAAGCATTCGGGTCCGTGTTCTCGCGCTCTACGATCACGTAGTGGCGGTGATACGGTCGCACCGAGCCTTCGATAAATATGGCTTCACTCTTTTCTTCGGAATCACCGCTAGCTTCTCGTCGTTCCGCTCGTTTGGCGCGGCGCTCGACAATTTCCTCGGGTGTTAGACGCTTACCCATCTGCGGGGCATCCGTGCTAAATAACACCACGAAGCGGCCAGCGGATTTCGGGTGTAGAAGGCGACGCGAAGCCGCAACACTGCGTGCATGGGTAGTGAAGGACTTGGCGACGCGGTGCATGGCTCAGGCCGATCAGGAAGTGACAGTGTTTTGCTACATGTACCGTACTTGCTGGTGGCGCGATTGTGCAGCATGTGCTGTAGTGAGCATAATCGGCGCGATATTTGCTGTGGCGATAGCCAGGAATGATGGTAGATATGAGAGGGTGTTTGTTCCGTAGTACATGTACATGTACACTACGTAGTACCCGTAGTCGTCAGAAAATGCGGTTTTCTGATTTTACTATTTAAATAGATCTACTTTAAATAAAAGTAGCACTTCTACTACAGCTTTACATTACCCCTAATAGGGGTTATCGGGTGGACGAATGGCTACCACATAAAACTGCGATTTTAACATGATTTTAACCAGTCACCACAGATTTAGTGCGTGATTGTGACCAATGAAAGAGAGAAACGCTCCAAACCAGTGATTTGTTGTGTCTGGGACTGGGCATATCGCAATAACGGCGTTTTGTACATTCCAGTCCAAACTGGAACACCCGTCAGACTCTGACTCAGAGCTGACTGCGCACGGCTATGACTATTGATTTAGTTTTGAGTAGTTGAAGTTATGTATTAGATTGGGTCCTTCCGGACCAAATGAAATATGTTCCAGGGCAAGTGGAACAGTACTCGAAAGCTGTATCATATTAGTGCGTTAATGACAACAATCACAAGCTCTGATCTTTCACTAAGTATCGTAATGCATTTCCTCGAGACTCAGTGCATTGGCAACAGCCCGCTAGCAATGTAAGCCATCGCCACGACAAGATGGCGGGGGATACAGTGGATAAATGCTTCTGCAGTGTCCTCCAGCAGCGTGGCCCTCGACGCCGTGAGCGTGTCGTGTTCGCCTCGATTAAATATACGTAATTATAACATCCATAAATAAATGCTACTTTTTTATTAAAATATAATTGTAGTTGCGACCGCCAAAATTGTACCTTTAATTGGGTTCAGCATTGGGGAGGAGGGCCCCAACCTTAGCAAGACAAAGTCGCCGTTTCCTCCTCCAGCCGACTCTCGGTTTGATTTTGGGCGGGGGCATTGTCGAACACAATGACGATCTTCCACCCCCCGAAATACTACTGGAAACCCTCCAAACCTTTGGCGGTGGTGTAAATGCGCTTGGAAAAACTCCGCATTCTCTTTCATGCGGGTGCTTTCCCATCGAAGCTGGTGCAGCTCGAGGCCGTCTTCAGTTGATACTGCGCACTGAACTTGCAATTTATTGCCCTGCGAGGGGGGGGGGCATGACGACAGCATGCTTTCTTTCACAGCGCGTCCTTGCGAGCTCATACAAACACTTTGTAGCTCGTTTCGTCGTAGCTCATACAAACACTTTGTAGCTCGTTTCGTCATAGTACACAATGCGTGCAGTCTTCTTCCAGGGATGACCCCATCGCAGTGACCATTTGATCTGTGCACTTCGTTGAGGCATCGCGCGCACCGCCGCGCGAAGGTGGAGTAGGATCGACAGACTTGCAGATACGATAGGCTGCAGAGCGCGTCATTCCGTTGTGCATAGCGACTGTAAGCTAGACTTCCCGAGCTACGTAAGCGCTCAGAACGCGCCGCTCCGTGGCAGTACGCTGCGACTTTGGCGAGAGCAGCGACGACGCAGCGATAGAGCGACGTGGGACTTGAGGTATGTGCTGTGCAAGGGCTTCTTTGGAAGGGAGATTTTTCAAAATGAACGTGTGGCCTCGTTTGCCCTGGAAGCAATTTTGTTTGCTCTATAGCAAGTTCAGTAAAAATGTTTTAGGTAATATATGCCCCGATTCTCGTGCGTCCCGATTAGCTCTGGCGGGTGTCACAGTTTGGACTGGAAATGGTGTAGAAGGTTAGACCACCGACCCACATTAAAACGGGTTTCCGACTACAACTCTTGATCTGCCCGGCATGCCCTTCAGCATCGACTTGAAAAAGGGCAAGTCTGTTTAGCCAACAGGTCATACGCTTAGAGCAGGCCTGTTGCTAATGATTACATTCAGCTATATGGGGGCCTGCATTCAGATAGAATGGTCGGTCTAGTAGGTACCCTTTCCATACTCGCATATAGCATCAAGCGATGTCATTAATACCCATTCGCGAGCTGGGTAGACTGGATCTGGGCTTTAAAGCTTGCGTCTTCCGCGCGCGATCAGTCCATCGCCTCGAAGCTGATACAGGAATCCACCTATAGCGAAATCAGAGGCGTCGACATTTACGTGGAGCGGCTTGGTGAAGTCAGGGTGGATCAGAACGGACGGCAAAGTGAGCGTTGCTTTCAGGGCTTAAAATTAGTGCTTTTATGGAGACGTCAGCGTAACGCTGTCTTGAGGACGCTTGTCACGCATTGTTCCCATCGGTATCGCTACATCCTCAACAAAACTAGCATTAAACCGCATGAAGTACAAGCAAGTCCCAAGGTACGCTTACATGTCATGCTTGGTCTTAGAGATGGGCCAGCTGCGAGCGCTTTAAGGAACCTAACTCACTTCCTGAACACGCATCATCAGCGGCTTTTGCAGCGTCAAAGTGATATCAATGATCGGTCGCACGTCTTGTCCGGACTCTCCGGTTAGCGTAAACTGACTTAGCATTGTAGCAATCGCCTTTTGCAACCCCACCATCGCTAAATTCCGTCAAATGCACACGCGGGGACCACTACACAAGCAGCTAGCGTAGCTCACGACATCACATGCCCTTTTCGGTGGCGTCTAAATCCAGGCCACCCTATAAGACTTAGCACTACTCCAGCGCTCTTATCCCCTGGGGTCGAAGATCTATGTTGCGCTGTTCTTAGTATTTAAGTCGTCCACAGGAGCGCTCAAACATGCACCACTTGCAGTTGCTCTATGCACCAATATATCCTTTGCTCCATCATCACTAAACCGTTTTTTTTCATCGTGCACTGAAAAGGTCTCGTGCGAGACAGCCAAACGGAATTTAAAACTACATATATGCGATCTATGATCGAACTAGGCAATCGAGCGCGCGCTAACAGTGCGTGACAGCACCGATGAAGTGTTTTGTGTAACTTTGTCAGCTTTTGGTTGTTTTTAGTTCAAATTTCAGGCTGGGTTAATTCTTGTATGTTAGAAACGGCTGAAAAAAAGTACGAAAATCGCACCAGCGTATTACGTTTGTAGCTTGCCTCAAAGACTATCTGAATTCCTACCAATCAAATTAATTAATTTGACCAATACACCATTTACGCTAATTAGTCATCCCCTGACTAATTGTGGTGTACTGATCGAAGCCCTACAATGCATCAGAGCAGAGTGCTTCTGATCAACGTGATGTGTCAACCAATGAGTATTTTGGTATCGATAGCAATGTCGAACCCATGCTCGAAGACATGCACGAAGCTGAAAGCGATAATGGTGACGGTGAAGAAGGTGGTCGTCGGTCAGGTGGGGCCAAAAGTTGTGGTGAAGTTGAGTGTATTGATCCCCACGGTTAGCTTTGTGTGTGTGTGGTGTATGACAGTTAGTGTGAGAAAGGGACTAAGAAGAACTAAGAGCTCAGCTCACTCTTAGAAATACAAGCTAACAAGCAGGCAATTGCTGCTGCTGACTGACAGAGTCTAGCTTATCTCTGCGTACCTCCACAAGTGGTTATGAGCCCAAGTGGCGCGTGTGTAAGCTATTGACTCGTTAGCAAGCATGACTGAAGAAAATAAGAAGAAGACTATCCCACCGTTTGACGGTAAGGATTATGAAGTGTGGCATGAACGTGTTAAGCTGAAGATGCAGAGAAAGAAGTTGTGGAAGTACTGCGAGATGGAGGTGGAGGAACCAGAGGAGACTAAGCAGGCGGAACATGATACGTGGGTGAGCGAGACTTCTCGAGCGAAGGAGATAATTTACGACGCCATGACGAACAATATGATGAAGACTGTTTAGTATGAGCACACCCCGTTTCGTGTGATGGAGAGACTGAAGAAGAGATTCATGGGGAAGACTTACCTGAAGTATGCGGAGGAAAGAGCTAAGTTGAGTCGACTCCGTTTGAATCCGAATGCAGTAGCGTTTAACGTAATTTGGATAGTCGGACATTTTCAAGACCGATCGATCATGAATCTCGTTGG